GTACGGGGTACGGGGTACGGGGTACGGGGTACGGGGTACGGGGTACGGGTACGGGTACGGGTACGGGTATGGGTACGCGTACTGTTCCCTCGAGACCATTCCAACAGAACACATGCAAGGGCGTGTGATGATGATACGGGCGGAGGAGGTGGGAGGGTCATAACAGGGATGTTAAAAATGAACTCCGGTTCAGAGAGCGAGGAGTACTTCGCGCGGTGAGCAGCAGGCGAGGCAGCAGGTGGTACCCGTGCGGCCACGGCCGGGCCGGGCCCGTGTGTGCTAGCCGCAAGGGACAAAAGCTTTTCGGCCGGCCCTGTCCTGTGATTCGAGGCATCCTGGTGCAGCCAGCGCAGCCGGCCCGAACGGAAAATAAAGCGTGCGGGGACAGGAAGGGGGCGTAAATAGACACGCAGAAAGGGGGAGAGGAGGAGGAGGAGGAGAGAGGGACGGCGAGAGGCGAAGAGAAGGGCGAGGCAGATGCGATAAACACTCGGGTTCGTTGAACCAGGCTGCAGCTCTGCCGCCTCATCGAGCTCCTAGACTCCTAGACCAGACCGGCCGGCAACGAGTCGCGCAGTGAGCTGCTCGAGGAGCTGGGCTCGAGGAGCTCGGCTCGCCTCGGCGCAGCGCAGCGCAGCGCAGCGCACATTCCACGGCGATATTCAGAGAGATGCTGCAGCATCTGCGGGCGCCGCGCCGCGCCGCGCCGGGCCTCGTTGGCAGTGGCTCCAAGATGCGCATGGGCGCGTAACTGCGGTGGCTGTCCCACATGTCATCATAGAAGCGAGCCAACCTCGCATGATGCGTTGAGCCGTGCCATCTATGTCACCCCCACCCCTTTCCAAAAAAAAATAAAATAATAACACCCAACAACTGCATGCATCTTGATGTAACGAACTTAATAATACAAGCTCCGTTCCCGTTTCGACCCAAATTGTAATGGTTCCTTTTTTATCACTCCAAAAATTTATAGATACCACTAAAAAGCCCCTCTCCCCTTTCCCTTCCAGTGTCCAGTCGAGTCGGCCCACCAGCGGCGCGATTGTCACACGGGGCCTGCCGCAGCCCGAACCACCTGCTGCATCGCACGACACGCCGCCGCCCGGCCCACGCACGCATCCATGATAACGTGCTTCCTGGCCACGCCACACACGATACTACGCCACGCCACGCTGAGCCCCACCGAGATGAAGGACTCAGATTTCTGCCAAAAACGGGAACAAGGCAACATAAAAACGGGTCAGGGATAGGCGACTGTATGGAGGATCCATTGTGCCGTTTGTGGCGCTCGACAGAGCGGGCTGGCGACCCCGTGCGCGCAGGCAGCCCGGGCGCACACCTGCCGCCACACAGCAGGGACAGAACGCTGCCGGCACGAGTGCCTCTGGCAGCAGGCAGCACTAA